AAAAAACCACTTTCATCTTGTCATTCTGCTGCTCAAGAACTGCCAAGCTTCTCTGCTGCCCAATTCCAAATTCCCATCCAGATCTCCATCATCTTGCACAGCCTACCTATCTAAGCTTAGTTCCTACCACCCCCAACAGGGTTCCTCCTCTCCTCGAAGGCCCCCCGCCCCATCCCCGGCTTTGCTCATGCTGTTCAGCCCACCCAGAATATTGTCCTTCCTCCCCACATCCATCCCTCCCAAATCTCACCTCCTACATGAAACGTCTTCCTATTTCTCCTACCTACAATGATAGCACTCTTTCCCTGAATTCCTACTACAGTTAAAGTCAATGTTACAGCTCTTTAACCGGACATTTCTTAAAGTCAGGGAGTGACTTTTTTTTCTCCTCTATAGCAACAGTTTTCCGCTTTTGTTACTCCATGATATATAAAAGAATACTACTCACATATAAGACATACCCCTATGGGTATACTTGGGATTATGCACAATTCCTGCCACAACAGTTGTTAACTCCACTAATTTCTGTCCTACTAAAGAAAACTCTGTGGAGCACAGTTCTACTCTGACACACATGGGATTGCCATGAACCAGAATCAACTCCACGGCAACTGGATTTTTGTTTTTTTACTTTTTGGTTAAAGAAAGCAGAATAAAAAGTAAGTGAGTATACTATACTTCAATAAAAAGTTAAAAAAAAAAAAAAAACCCTAGCGAGCAAGAACGAGAGGGCTTTCATATTGGTGTGACCTTAAATATGCTCAATTTATTCTTCAAAGAAAGTAAGGCAGTTGCAAACGTTGGCACTTTACCGCCATCAATAAATTACTTGTAATACAACTCAAGTGATTACTCATAAAACACTGGCAAGAACTGCTATTCTATATAGCACTTAGCATTCTAGACACATAGATGGCAATCAATAAATACTTAATTAACCAATTAGTATGTCAGCCCATTAATCAATTACACGTAAGTGTTCATTATTGCTGCTGCCACCTAATGATGACGATGATGATCATGTAAACTACAAACACAGAGTACACTAGCTGACTCTTGCTGACAGACCCTAAATGAACAACTTACAGAGTGAATATAACCAATAAATGTTTTAACAGTACAGTGTGGCCACTGCTCTTCTGAAGCTTATGATGATTTCAACAGTTTCTATGGCAATCATCATGCAACCCTAAACCTCTTGGGTAACAGTGTGGCTATTATTGCAATCTTGGGTAAAATTAGTAAATTGTGAGCTTTATCTGTCACTGCAGTCAGGGATCAGATAACTTGCTCCACCCAAGAGAAATCCTTCTATATTAAAATGGTTCTCATTTTTGCAATAAGAAATTATTTGACCACTGGGAGTCTTTCAACAACGATTATAATTCAAGTACATAATTTTTTAACTGCTATTACCCATTCTCCAACATTATAATATACCCTTAATTTCAAGTTACACAAATAGCCTATGATTTGATTTTGAAACACTCTCCCCCTCCTCAAATCCTGAAAATGTCATATCCTTCCCTGAAAAATCTTTAAATATATACTGGATAGCTTGGGTATAAATTTATCTACAGGCCAGGAGTCTTCTAATTCGTCTAACCATGACATCCTAACATTCTAGAAGTAGAGATTAATCTAAGAATAAAAATTTTAAGTTATCTGATCCATTAGTGTTGCCTAAGCAGCCACTATTTAGAAATCCTTGTAAAAGTAGAACATAGAGGAAGCTTCAGTCCATCATGCCCTGGAAACTTCCAAACATCAACCAAACAGCCCAAAAGAATGTCCTACTCAACAATTCCAAGGATGTCACTAATTGCTTCCATCTGTTTCCCTCTCTGTCCCCTCCCCCTCCAAGTCAAGGCATCTACTGAAGTTATTTTCTGCTACATTTTACATTCTAAAGAAAACCGAGAAAAGTATAATTAAGAGGCATCGTGTTTCAAACTGCGGAATATTTCCCCAAAATTTGTGTGACAACCACAGCCATAGTGTTGTTTGTACTCTAGGCTGTTTTCAAGAAACATTTCAGAGTGTGGCATGTTAAGTTATATACTTTTTAAAAACTGCTCAGTAAACTTTTAGTTGGTCATAGTACACTATTTTTCCCTGTATATCCAAGGAGATCAGGGTGTTTCCTCCATGGTGCCACAAAAGTCAAAAAACCCGGAATAATTTCACCCATTGATGATCCTTGCCTGAATCAGTTGTTTCATTAAAAGTTGCACAATGATGATTTTCTGTCATTCCTTCCACATTTGTTGGTTAGAATTTCCCTCATCAACTAGGGCTATTAGGGTACCCTGAAATAACGTTTGTACAGAAAAGTTCAGATAAATGCTTAATTCTTTCCTTTTAATTACTAATTTTCAGAGTAAGGGGTTGGTGCCCTAGTTGCCACCAATAGTGATCAACAAAGTTTCGTTTTGTTTGTTTTTAAGTACCTACTCTTTTGAAAACTTTAACACCATTAGGGCACATTCCTCTTTAATTTTTCTAAGTCCCCAAGGAAGCCTCTGAGAGCACGTAGCATATTTCAAAGGTTTATCGCTGGAACGAAACAGAAACAGTTTCTGGAAGAAATTAATTTACCAATCAAATGATATTCATAGACTAGAATCTCAGGGTTGAGAGGAACCATTTTAAGGGTCATCTAGTCCAACTACCAGCTGGTGTTGAAACCCTTTGTACACTACTATCTCATCATGCTCTAGGAAGTAAGGTAAGGGACAACTTGCTACAAGCTACCTATGTTCTTAACATAAGTTAAATATGCAAGTTTAATTATAAAGTTTAACTGACAGCATAGATTCCTCTTATATAACCACACTGATGGAATGGCACACAAAGTAGGTTTATAGAGTTTAAAGCTAGAAGGAGAACTTGGAGATCACCAAATCCAATGAAAGCAAGTTAAAAAAAAAAAATTCCACACAACAGGTTCTACAAAAAGCAGATGCTTCCTGTACCTTACTTCCTGACACATGAAGACATTTTGCAGTATTAAGAAATGTATTTCTATAGAGCCCATGGAAGCAGCAGTCAAGAAATCAAACAACATATCACACTGGGCAAATCTGCTGCAAAAGACCTCTTTAAAGTATTAAAAAGCAAAGATGTCACCTTGAGGACTAAGGTCACCTGACCCAAGCCATGGCATTTTCAATCACCTCATATGCATGAGAAAGCTGGACAATGAATAAGGAAGACCGAAGAAGAATTGATGCCTTTGAATTACGGTGTTGGAAAAAATACTGAATATACCATGGATTATCAGAAGAATGAACAAATCTATCTTGGAAAAGTACAGCCAGAACGCTCCTTAGAGGAGACAATGGCAAGACTTTGTCTCACGTACTTTGCATATGTTATCAGGAGGGACCAGTCCCTTTACCAGTCACGCCTGGTAAAGTAGAGGATCAGCGAAAAAGAGGAAGGCCCTCCACGAAACGGACTGACACAATGGCTGCAACAAAATAGGCTCAAACATAACAATGACTGCGAGGATGGCACAGGATCAGGCAGTGTTTCCATCTGGTGTGCGTAGGGTCGCTATAAGTCAGAATCAACTCAGTAGCACCTAACAATAAACAACAACAACATTTCTACAGAAGCACCCACTGAAGTAAATTAAAAATAAGACAGTATCAATATGGGTAAAAATTTTGCATCTGTTCAATGGAAATAATAGAACGTGAGGATAAAAATAACACTTTTAGCTTTATTTAAAAGTATGACATATAACATACACACAGAAAATTACACAAAACATATGTATAATATAATGAATAATTATTTTAAAAAACACCCAGGTAACCCATCACCCAAGTTAAGAAATAGAACAGCATTACTTTAGAAGTTCCCGTATATAACCTCTTCCCTCTCTCCCAGAGGTACCACTACCCTGACCTTTGTGATGATTTCCTTGCTTATCTTTATCTTTTTACAACATAAACAGGCATCTCTAAACAATATGATTTGTTTCTGCATGTTTCTTAACTTTAAATAAATGGAAGTTATCTATCTATAGTTCATTTCTCTTGTTTTTGAGATTTCATTAATTTTTACTACAGATTAATATTCCAACTTATGACTATACCAAGATTGTTTTTATCCATTATACTTTAGATACAGTGGAGTCATTATGAACAATGCTAACATATTTTTTTTTATATAAATCCCAGTATAAGTATGCACAAGTTTCTCTAAGGAACATACCTAAGAGTGCTATTGCCTATCTTCAACTTTATTAATGCCAAACTGTGTTCCAAAGTGGCTGCACCAATTTACATTCCCAACAACAATGTACAAGGGTTCTAGTTCCTCCACATCCTCATCAAGAACTGATATTATCAGAGTGTTTAATTTAGGAGGCTATAATAGAATAATTTGCCCTTCCCTGATGACGAAATAGAGTACCTTTTCATATGTTTATTGGCCATTTGGATTTCTTCTCTTCTGATGTACCTATTCAAATCCTTTACCTTTTTTTTTTTTAATTGAATAGTTTTGTCTTATTCTTATTGACATGTAGGAGTTTAATTGTCTTATGCATCATCAGCCTTTACACAGGACTTGAATGCAACCTGGAAAAAAGCTATCAATCAAAGATGACAATCAAAGAACTTGAGATGCTTTATCTAATCAAAAGTTAGTATCTCTGCTTCTTTTATGTAGGATGTATCAAAATGTCCAGAAATTATTCATAGGAGCATTAGGCAATATATAAATGTAACTACAATTTAAAATGCTATAAAATATTTTACAATATATTTTTTAATTTATACCTGTTATTCTTTCCTCTCTAAGCAAAGGTATTTAGTATAAAATTCAGATTTGTGCATGCTATAGTCAGAATATGTTTCTGAATTCTTTCCATTCCAGAAAACAAAACTTAGAAGTCATGGTTTTATTATAAGTTATGATGTAAAAAAATGCCTAATATCAAGGATTAAAATCAACAGTAGGAAATCTGAGGGTTTTTAATTACTCACTTAATAAATGCTGGTGGCATGTCTCTCTTCAAAATCTGATCCTCGGTGGTTTGAACAGTCTCTTTTCCAACCTATGGGCGGAAAGATTCATAATTCAAATCTAAATTCTCAAACTAAAAAAACTATTATTTAAACATGTTTGAAACATATACTTTACACATAATCTACCACTGAAGTTTCTTAATTCAAAGGAAATTTCTGGATTTTTTTGAAAATTATTAAGATTGTTCCCATACGCTTCCACAATACAGCTGGATAATAATGTGGTGTACAAACATAATGTTATATATAGTACACCTTCTCCAGAGAAATTAATTTGAAGACATCATTGAGGACGGTGAGAAAAAAAGAGAAATTCATCATTTAGAATATATTTGTACGTGCGTGTGTAACTAACAAACTCTCCTACATCTCTAAAAAACAAAAAAAAAAAACCTGTTGCCATCAATTCCAACTCATAGTGACCCCATAGGACAGAGTAGAACTGCCTCATAGGGTTTCCAAGGATCAGCTGGTGGATTCAAACTGCCAACCTTTTGGTTAGCAGCCATAGCTCTTAACCACTGTACCATCAGGGCTCCACATCTCTAAAAGGGTATATGAATTATATGAATCAAGTTGTTATTGTTGTTGTTGTGTGCCATTGAGTCAATTCCAACTCACAGAGACCCCACAAGACAGAGTAGAACTGCCCCACAGAGTTTCCTAGACTGTAAATCTTTACAGGAACAGATTGCTAGGTCTTTTCTCCCACGAAGGAACAGCTGGTGGGTTCTAACCGCCTTTCAGTTAGCAGCCCACTGCATAACCCCAGTGCCACCAGGGCTCCTTTAAATCAAGTTAGGTGGGTTAAAATGTCTATATAGAAAAAAATAGATGTTACTGGACTGGGAAAAATATTTGAAGCAATTATGATTCTGAAACTAGAAACCAAACTTATGAAAATATGCATCTAGTAATCAGAAAAACTGAAACAACATGGTATTTTTCCCTAATTACAGAGCAAGTTAAAAAGAAATAATACATAATGCTGAATGCTACAATGGACTAGGTAGTTTTACATCCTGCAAGTGGCAGTGTAAACTGATATATTCTCTTTGGAAAACCACTTGTTAGCGTATGCTAGGAGACATAAAAATTAGCCTAGGAGCCTAGGAATTCCACTTTTAGATAGACTGTACCTATCTATAAGCAATAATACAAAATACGAGAATAATAATAGTCACAAAAGTAGTCACTATCATGTTAGTTACAAAAGCTAAAAAAATTGTTTTAAAATAACTTATACAACAATAAGGAATGGTTCACTGAACTATATCTTCTAGAAACAGGGCCTCTAAAACAATGGTTATATAGACTCAGCACTATGAGAGAATGTTTATGACATTATATTTAAAAGTAAGGATTAAAAATGATAAATACATTATGATTGTAACAAAATGAAAAATCCATATGCATAACGCAAAGCACTAAAAATATATAAAACAAAATGTTAACAGTGGTTGTACTAATGTTTAGGAAATTTTGAGTGAATCTGCATGCATTTCCTTTTAATTTTCTAAAATGTGTATATATAATTTTTATAATTTTAAAACATAAGATTAAAATGTTAACCTATGTTGTTGTTGTCGAGCTGATTCTGACTCATGGCGACCCCATGTGTGCAGAGAAGAACTGCTCAGTAGGGTTTTCAAGGCTATGTCCTTTCAGAAGCACATTGCCATGCCTGTCTTCCAAGATGCCTCTGAGTGGGTTCGAACCTCCAGCCTTTCCGGTAGTAGTCAAGCACTTAACCGCTTATGCTACCCCGGGAATCCTTCATTCTAGGTTATTTAGGTGCAATTATTTTCTACCTAATAATTTTAGTAATTATCTGTCAGTTTATCCAAATCTTCCAAAAGTAGTGGCAAAAAGTAAGAAAATACTTTAAAATACTAAAAGTTATACTAACCAGATTGTGTGTATGTGCACATGTGTGTATAGGGCACATACTCACTTTCTTCAAAATTATTCCTGTGCAGGGTTTGGATGTCATTTTTTCTTTCACTATATCAAGTGTCTTATAAACAAGAAGTAAACTTTAATACAGTGAATGATGAAATTCACCCATTTTATTAATCAATGTAAAGCTAACTAAGAAGTGTTAAATCATAAAAATAAATCACATTTTAATGCAGAAATCTATAATCTTTTTTAAAACTCAGAATGTAAAGTATCTCAAACCTGTTACTTAACCAACCATATAACTTGATTTAGTTTAAGAAAGAAAAAACCCCTAAATGCACAGTAAATCAGTTAAAGAAAATAACACAATAAACTATTCTCAGGGAATACAAGTCATGCATAAGTTAATGAATAGAAGTTTTCCTCTCAAGCTAATAGCTCAGAAAAAGCAGCACACATATACCACTGTGTAATAGTGCTTTTGTAGACAATAGGCCGTCTGTATCATAATAGAAGTCTTTCAAATCAGCAGCTGGTTCTCCAGAGTTTCTCAGATCAAAACATGACAGAATATTTCCAGATGTATTCTGTTCACTATTTTTCCAACTGAAACCGACCATTCAAAAAGCTGTGGGCCTTCTGGACAGAGCTGGAGAAGGATGTAGAACATAATTCTATCTCACAAAAAAAAAAAAAAAAAGACCA